TTGTGTACACTACTTTACAGTAATAAGTGCTTGTAAAAGTGTGCCTTAACATTTTAATTAGATGTTATTGTTTGTGATAATCCCAGTAAAGAACATATTGAAATTCTTGAAGTTTTTATCATATATTGGATCCAATGTGCAAAATACAAATTACTAGAGAATCACCCATAACCAACAGATACTGAACACAGGAATCTAATTTCTTACATTTCATACAACACACAGATGAAATTATTTTGATGAAAGTATATATACTGTGTGTCCACAAAGTCCCTTCAGGGTTTTGAAAAATTGTGGCGCGCAAACAAATTGAGCTTGCCACATGTGGTTTGCCGCAGATTACAGTGAAACTCTGGAAGTTTATTACTGACCTCAGTAGACCTCGATGTGGGCTCCCTTGGTAGCACGGAGAACGCCCAGACGATATTCGAGCTCTTGCCATGTTCTGTGGAGCATATCCGCTGGAATAGCCGAGATCGCATTCCTGATATGGGTCTTCAGGTCATCAAGTCCGTTAACTGGTGTTTGGAACACATTGCTCTTGACATAACCCCACAGGAAAAAATCCAGTGGTGTTATGTCTGGTGAACGTGGCGGCCAAGGCATTGGACCGTCTCCGCCGATCCATCTTTCTGGAAGTGTCCTGTCTAGGTACGCGCGTACCTGCAGACCCCATTGAGGTGGAGCACCATATTGTTGCAGAATGATGTGTGGCTGTAAGTGCTCAATTTGTGGTACTGCGTACAGTTCAGCATGTCCAGGTAGGTGTTCATGTTGATCGTCTGCTCTTGAAAAAAAGAAGGGTCCAATAACCTGGTCATGCATTACACCACACCACAGGTTCACTTTTGGACTATTGCATATGTGCTCCCTAACAACGTGGGTTTTCAGAGCCCCATGTGCGCACATTATGCCTGTGAACTTTACCCGAGACATGAAATGTTGCTTCGTCTGTGGACATGATTTTTTTCAAGAAGTCCACATCAAGGTCTACTGAGGTCAGTAAAAAACTTCCAGAGTTTCATTGTAATCTGCCGCAAACCGCATGTGGCTAGCTCAATTTGTTGGCGCGCCACAATTTTTCAAAACCCCGAAGGGACTTTGTGGACACACTGTGTATATTTTGCATTTTAACTCATCAATTTGCAGCCAATAACATCATTGCCATTCCAGAACAACTTAAGAGCACTTCCTCACTAATTAAGGAAATTTATGGAGCGAGCCCGTTTGTTATTGATTCCACACATTGCATTAATAAAGCAATATATATGCCAGAGAATAAATTACGTTGATCATATCAGTAAAGAAGTTTGTAACACTCTCAAGGGATGGAAACTTCCTAATACCATCATGAGTACTAATGATTTTACGTATGCACCACAATTGATCATATTATTTTGTTGCTGAAGGCACTTGAAATAAACAAGAGGCACTTACAGGTAGGGTGTACTCAAATGTATATTACGATTTTACAGAAGACGTGAACCCGAGAGTAGTCGTTATATATTGTCAATGTAATATGTACATGTCAAGTGTGTTTTATTCCACTATGTGCTGAGTTGACTTGATAAAATGGAGCGTTCCAACATGGCACGTAGGATAAAACGACGAATGCTAGATAACCGAAAGTCATGTTATGTGGACTCTACTATATTCGGTTTCAGATTGGAACTCTCAGACAGGATTTTATGGAACTGGTCTATTTTGCCTATTTTGAAAAGAGAAAATCTTACAAATCTCTAAGAACAAATTCACATTCACGATACATATTAACTAGGCGTACACTCCACATATACACATCCAGACATCAGTACTCGCACAATAGAAACAACACATGCATGACAATGACCATCTTCTGGGATGTTACACCATGTAGTCTGGTAGAAGTTTACCAATGTTTCGGAGGTCATTGCTGCCTCGTTCATCAGGGTGATGAGTAAGCCACATGTGTAGAATCGGTGAGATATAGTAAACGCCGAACTGCTACCAGACTACACAGTGCTACAACCCAGAAGGCGGCCATCTTCATACTCACTGCTGTGAGAACCTCAAATCTTACTTGAACCGATCAATTTTAGCAAAAATTGGTATGGAACATTTTGCCATTGGAGGTTACCACAATCTTATACATTTTAATTCTGTACAGTCAGCAGCAACATGGCAGATAAATGACATGCCACTGAATCTGCAGTCCTAAAATTATGTATGTTAATAGATTTTTTAAAAATATATAACTTTTGCTAAAGTAATTTTTATGTACAATGTAAAAATAATAATATGATGTTGCAGATCTTAAATGTAGCTTTCAGTGATTAATAAATAATGGACCATTGGGGCTAGGAATATGAAATTTTGTATGATGATAGATTCTAGAAATTATTATTAAGAGAAGTCGGCTACAAATGCGGCAATGATGCATTTACAAAATTACTTGAAACTTGCCCAGACTATATTTGTCCTTTAAAATGATTTCTTTAATCTGTGACTTATTGAAGGAACTGTCCCAGAATAACTTGAATATTCAAAAGTTAAGCCTCCTTATAAAAAGGTTGAAGAATCATGCATCTATAATTACAGTACAGTTTTGTTACTGACATTCCAAAATACTCGAGAAAGTTATGCGCAGATGACTAACTGATTTCTTGAACTCTATCCTCACAGAGCAACAATTTGTTTATGTGTCATCCCATCAGGGGAAGTCCAAGTGTGTTTATGAATATCAAGATGTGGGAGTGTACTTTTGACAGTCAGATTTTTGGATGTGACAAACTTCACTAATCTCACCCCATTGTCATTACTAAATTCATGTAAACTCTCGCTCCCTATAGTTGCTTTGAAAATATCCTCCCGACCAATTTTGGCATTGATGTCTCCTAGCAGTATTTTCATGTAATATCTACTAAACTGATCAACTGCATCCTCTAATTCTCCATAAAAGCTATCTTTTATCTTATCACCCTTATCTTCAGTTGGTGGTGCACATTTAAAATAATAATATCACAACATTGACCATAATTAAGTATGACAGTCTATCATTAACAAATTCTACCTTTTTAACTGCCCACTGATGATCTCTTTTCACTAAAGAACCTGTTCTCAGGCAGTGGTCTTTATTCCTTTTTCCATGGTGTAATATGTAGTTCCCCTTTGTTAGTCTTCCATCCATCATCAAGTCACCTAACCTCTTGTATTCCTGCAATACTGGGGATACTGGGAACGACCCGTTCTTCAAGTGCCTGAGCACTGCGGGTCCCAACTTTTCGTTGGCATGATCTATAGACATTCGGTAGGACTCCTTGGACGAGGCCTCTACCTGTACACAGGACAGCACAACATAGAAAAACGCGGACAAACATCCATGGCTTGAGTGGGATTCGAACCCACGGTCCCAGCGACCGCGCGGCCACTGCGGACCCCATTCCTGCAATATCTAAACTATACTTCTCCATAGCTAATGAATCCCACATCCCTGTTCTATATAGGCTCCTCACATTCCATGGATGTATGAATCATGATATCAAAATTAAACTTTTATGGAATTAAAGGTGCAGCTGGGGAATGGTTTAAATAAAATTTTAATGGTAGAAAACAAAGAGTATAAATTAAATCTCATAACATTCTAACTCATATTGCAATTGGGGCACTGTAAAACATTCCTCAGCATGAAATTCCTCAAGATTCAATACTTGGTCCTCTTCTTCTTCTCTTATATATCAATGATTTGTACCAAATAATCACTTAGTTCAAGCCTATGCTATTTGCTGATGATAACAGTATTATTATTTATCATGCTGATAGTGACTACTTTCAGGAGTTCATTAATGATGTCCTTGCTGGCCTGAATAAAGGTTTAAAGCTAGTAAATTCACCCTAAATTTTGATAAGACTTCTAACAACAGAATGACAACAAAATAAGTATAAATTTTAATATAGGTTATGATAATAAAACGATTGAAGGTGTTAATAACTGAATTTCTTGGTTTACAAATTCATAATAACTTAAAGCAGAAAAGGCACACTGAATGTATAGTCCCGAAACTAAGTTCAGCATACTTTGCCACGAGGACAGTCAGTTACTTTGCTTATTCTCTTTCCATTATGTCATATAGAGTTAATTTTTGGGGAAATTTAATAGAGAGCAGAAAATTAATTATCCAAAAGAAAATAATTAGAATAATGGCAGATGTTATAAAGTGTATCACACAGATACATTTTTTAACAATTTAATATGCTCTCCATTGCAAGTGAATTCCTACTTGGATTACTGTGTCTCATCGTGGACATGAAGAAGTCCCAAACAAACTCTGAAATAGCATAAGTGCAAGGCATGAGCATTATCTCCATCAGTCATGCCATAACCTCACTGTTATTAGAAAGGAGCTTACTATGCAGGGATCAAATTATTCATTGCCCTACCAGATAGCATTAAAAAGTTTAAATCATGATATAAAAAATTTTAAGCAAGCATTTAACATTATCTTCTAAATCACCCCTACTCTGTACAAGAATTTACTTCAACAGAAAATTAAGTACTGTAAATGTTAACAGAGGTAATATGTATGCTGTTTTGGTATTTTATTGTACTATGAGTTAATATTCATAGTATGTCATGTTCCACATCCTTGGCTTGTATTATGAAGGATATGTGGAATGTAAACAAATTAAAATTCTGTATTTGTATGAATGAAACATGTAGCTTTTTAAAAGCAACTGGTGTTTCTGAGTGCTCCATCTAATGGATATAAGAAAAGTGAGATTTGTTAAAATTGTTCATAACACTTACTTTTACTCGAAGGAGCAAGTTCCTCTGCAATACTATAGTTTTAAAATGACGTATTTATTTTAGTTATGTGTGTGGGGTTAAGATATTGCATGTAAGTTGTTCAGTAGTTAGCTTTGTTACCGACTGGACATCACCCCGCCGCGGTCGTGATTTTCTCGATGGAAAATAGATGGCGGGTGAGAAGCAGGGCTTTTCCGGTAAGTAGCATGGAAGTTTATTTTCTTAGTTCCAAATATGGGAGATTGAGAGTTGAGCGAGACATCCCGGCGGTCTCAGTGCAGTACAAGCTATGTTGTCAATGCAGTAAGTTGGTGCAGTTTTTGTGGGATTATAGGTTTGTCTGTAACTTACCATGGAACGTAGAATTGTCCCTATGATATTGGGTGTACAGTCGAATTGTTGAAAACGTGAGAGGGCTATAAATGATGCTATTTGATTGGGTGTGCAGTCGAATTGATGGAAACGTGAGAGGGCTATAAATGATGCTATTTGATAATGGGAGAACGGTAATGTAAGTGGAAAATTCTGTGCAGCTTGCTTGCAATGAGTGACGATTGTGAGAGCTCAAAAACGTTTTGTGCAAGGGAAGTATTTCTTGCTTCAGCGTTGTATGATGGATTGGAAGACTGCAATATTAGGTAACTTTTGTTTTAACAGTTTGTAGTAATTTTAATTCAATATGTGAACATTTCATTTAATGGGCTGTCATCTGTAGAATGTCTTAATTAAAAGTAAAGAAGTAAAGCTGACCTGCTATACGCCATGTAGGCTCTTGGGGCGAGTGGAGGTATGGTTGTTGCCAATTCTAACCTGAGAATGCCTTAATTGGTAGACGTAATCGTCAGTGGAATTTATTTGCATGACATTTATTTGAAACCTTTTTGAGTTGTTGGTTTGTACTTCAGGATTTTACACAGAGATTAAGGTAATCTCTTTAAAGTCTATAGTGTCTTACTTGTTCTTATT